TAGAGTTTATGATGAAGTGGGATCGTAGGGCAAAATAATGATTTCATGATAACTTTGGGTTTGTCCTTTTTGGCAAATTGCTAGTCTAATTCGATTGGAAACGGGCCAATGATCACAACTCAGCGTCTTCGGCCCCGATGTACGTCGAATTTTCGGCATATTCTGTCATTTAGGTTCTTGATTAAGCGTTTTTTCCATTTATGGTATTTTTATTTTGGCAATATCTCATTCAATAAAATTCGGATTCTTATTCCATTTGTTGGAGGACGATTCTGAATTTTAGAAGTTTCTACTTAAGTTGTTATATCAAATTTTTTCATTTATAGAAAAATATCGTTTTTTTATTTTTCGAATTTTGCAACTGTTTTACTATTTAAAGTAATGTAAGCCCTTTGAGACCGCAGTTTACTGAATTGAATAAAATTTCTCGTGAGTTTTTCTCATATTTATGAGGTTGTTCATATTTCATATACTCTTTCGCTACGTCAGAAACCTGGTAACATTATGTCATATTCTATGCCCATGTAATTTTTATTACCAATATAAGTAAATAAATGTTGAAGTTAGCATAAAGGGGGTGTAGCTCATATGGTAGAGCTCAAGCTTCCTGGCACCTCCATTTCATTGCATGTTGATAGAATAGTTATATTTTTGACAGAGATAAGCTATTGTTAATTTTGCTTAAATTGAATTTCTTTTTATGATGGGATTTTTTGCCAAGTGTCTTTGATGCACATTAAAATAGAAAGAATGCAATTTTTTTGTGATGTGATGTGATGGTGAATATGTGGTTGAAAAAGAAGGAAAAGTTATTGATGTGATGAAAAATATTATTTTATTGAAAAATGTGTAATTGAAAATGAGTAGAAAAATGAGAATGAAAATAAGAATGTGACTCAAACAAGGATTTAATTTCCATTATTATATCTTGCATTCTAAGAGAATTAAGCCCTAGCCCCGTCACGGAATTTACCTCGAGCCCCAATCCCACCCTAATTAACTAAAAATGAAAAGACCATAAATAAATTTAATAGCTCATCCAAATATATAAAGTCCATTACTTATTTAAGGGAAAATTGCTTTTTTTGTTCTCAATCTTTGTAAAATGCAACAAATTTACTATCAACCCTTTTAGCATAATTCATCTCAACATTTTAATTATGTAGCAAAACCAGTTCTTCTTTCATTTTGACCATTAAATGATGAATTTTCCCTTTTCTTAAATATATAAACATAAAAAAACAATAAAAAAACAAAAAAATATATAAAAATGAAGTACCATAACTTTTAGAAAATAAAAATAAATTACACTTAAAATAATAAAAGAGATATTAACCATTAAAAAAATAAATTTTTTAAAAAAATTCAATCTTCCCTAACTAGAGATGGCAATGGGGCGGGTTCGGGGCGGG